TATTACACAAATACCACAAATCTTGGCCAATTGGTTATTGAAAAGAAAAGGTTTATATATTTAAACACACCGACTTTTAAAGTAAGTCACGACCATTCACTTAAACACACTTGCTAGCACTTCATCCCAACATATTACAAAGAACCGATATAATGATCCCGTGACATTTGGTTATTGACAAAAAGTTGTTTACAGATTTTAATATATTCAACTCCTCTGCCCTCAAAGGTAAATCAAGGTACCTATAATCCATTTAAACAAATTTTGAACCCCATCATCCCAGAAGATGAAATAGTAGTTCTTATATCCATGCTACAGATCTAACATCAGAACAGCAGTTCATCTGTATGTTGATAAGATGTTGTTGAAATGATAAACTTGACAACAGACAATAGACCGTGCATATGCATAAGCTAGCTTACTTGCCATGCCGACTAGTGAGCCCAAAGCAATTTATCCAAACATTGATTTAATATCATTGGTTGTCTATACAGCAGCTGATAATGTTTTGCTTTACTTGTATTTGACAAATACTCTCTCAACATTAAATGTCCTTTATCTTTCTGGCGGTGTAGCATTACTTAACTAAGACATAAAACTAAATAACATTAACTATATTGTCATTGGTTAGGATGACTAATTCCAGCAGTCAATCAACTGTATATGGATCACGTTCATTAGAATTTCGCTATGTATATTAAACATTTTAATGTATATATTCATTAAAACATGTATAGTATATATACATTGTCAATGTGATGTGTTTATTTAGCCCATAGATTATTTTGCCGCAATATAGATTTATTGTTGCACACCTGAATTGTTTTTTTTCTTTATTTCTGATCAAAAATAGATTTTAATAATGATTTGTTCTTTTTGTGAAGTTGATTAAATTGGAATTCTAAATCTTATAAGGAGTATAAAGTTATTGAGATTCTGGTTTTCTGACCATTCAACATATGGGATGGGAGATCACTCAATCCAGTCACTGATTTTAATTCCCAAATTCTAGTCTTCAAAGAGCTCTGTTACCATATAATACTAGTAGTGACTACTGACTAGCTATAGAACATATATATACATGTAGCAGAACTGGTCAACATATGGTTGGAAAACCTCCCTGGTCTACATCCTGATTGTCAACACATATATATATGTCATAACAATATATATAGGGAAGACAAACTGGACTTACATGAATCTTTTTGCCAGAACGGCAATGATAACGAAAAGATGGAATGAAATATTGATTTCTTTCTTACGTGTACATTATAAAAATATAAAAATATGAAATGCAAAAACATGAAAACAACAGGACATAATTATACGACGTTAACAAATTAAGGTCAAGAACATGTCGCTGTTTATAGATTGAGATCTAGTGAGAAAACATTTGTAATACTTAAGTATACAAGTATACATAACGGATAGAATCTTATACACATATCATTTGGGAAAAACTCTTATGACTAGTATGATTGAAAATTCAGAAAACAGAGGAAAACTCACTGCTTCTAACTTTGCCCTCTCCCTCCATAAGTACCAGCCTCTGTTACACACAGGTAAATATCCAGGGGAGGGGTAAATTAATGGTGGTCCCGTGTATTTCAGATCACGGAAAAAGACTACTGCCCCACAATCTCCTTGTTGGGACATTCACTTCCTGGTTCTGGGGTACTGGTGTTGCGTGGAGTTAATCTGTTTGTTACAGTGCGTGTATAGCTACCGGTGAATACACAATTAAACGCCCCGGTCGCATTACATTATCAGTCAGGTGAAAAGCTTACAGGTGCAATGCTATTACCGATACCCCGATTAAATGTACACATCGGTCAGTCACCTTTTGATCAGTAAATTTATATTTCCCCATCTACTGACCAACCGCTTAAGTGTTGTAAAACCGGACGCCTAGATTTAGCTTCTATTATAGGTCTCTAAATAACAATACGATACAAAGCCTTAACTGAACTGATCTGTCTTCAGACCTTGTCATCGAACAGGGGTATGAAGGCTTGACGAGAAAACAGGAAAAGGGAGGGAGTGGGAGAGTGTTAACAATGTTAACAATATGATACAAGCCTTAACTGGATTGGACTTAAAGACTGTATGATATCAAGACATTTTTCACTGTTGAGGGAGCGAATACCATTTTCAGATGACCCATCACTTTACAATATAGAAACTGGGGAATATGGAGATGATGCAGTAAACCAGGATTGTGCAGGGGGGAGGGGGTAGTTATTGAAGCAATGACTGATCAGATCGTTATTAAATTTCTTCAGAAGATCAAAGCAGCATATTGCTCTAGTTACAAAGAGAATTGAAATGAACCCCCAGCTTCTATTCCAGCGCCTTGGTGTAGCATCAGACCACATGTGTGACAATCCAGTCGAATTGTTCAAATACGAGCTGTGTGGAGTTCTGTCTTCACTATTCAGTCCGTTGGACTTACCGATCGAGTCAAACATAGAAGACAGTCGCAGCTGATGCCATTTGGAATGAGGGATTATGCAGCGTGTGAAATTAAGTATCTTTACTGCGCCAGAGCATCTGTTGAAAATCATCAGATACAGCTGCACGGTCAGTTATGAAAACAAGAGGTCAGAGGCGTAGCAATAATGTATGCTTGTATGCTTAAACATACACTCGAATGCCATTGAGATATATTTGCCCTACTTTTTTAAACCTTACTTCGCCCTTGGATCCTCTCTTGAAAGCATACACTCTTAAAAATGTTTTGCTACGCCACTGGAGGTGCAGTTGTAGAAAATATAGGTTGGACTGTCCATCTGCATGTAAAAAATGTAGAGGAAGCAGCTGTTCAAATTCTGATAATGTTTGTTGATGCCTTGCTTCGGACCAAATGTCGTCGCTACACCTCTCAGGTCGTCCCGGAGGATATCATTATCACAACATTGTAGTATGACACCTCAGCCATGTTCATCACTCAGATATAGTAATTAGACACCGTTGAATGAATGCCAATCAGGCTGGTTTCAGTCATGCCATTTCAAGGCAAAGTTAACTGACAGGCCAAACTAAGTTCTAAAATAACTTCTATTTTTTTTCAGTCTTAAATATCTATGTGACTGCATTCTTATAGTCCCCAAAAATCCGTTTGACGGGATATGAAAAAATAACGGTATGAATCTATGCTGGTCGGCCTCAATAGTGTGAAATTAATCATTAAATGTGCTTGAAGCATCATTTGTTAATACATTATATCATCAAAGATATTTCAACCTGATACTTAGTTCCCTTGTTTACAAATTTACCAGTTTTAAATTTTCGAACAATTGTTTTAAAATGTCTGTGTTTGAATAACATTTGTTGTTACGTCTACTTTTTTGAGGGGTGGGGGAGGGGGCGGTCTCATGTAACGATCTCCGTTACAATAATTACTTGTTGTTCTAGCAGTGAATATAGTATAAATGTCTTGATACGCAAATATTTGGAATCTAAGAACTTTCTAAGTGTAATGAGGTTAAGTGTTAAAAGGAAAGATTTTTCAGTGTTTTATATAGTATTCAGTCCTAGGTGATATGGTTCATCTCGAGGACATGGAAATCTCTGACATTACCGGATGATGATGAGTTAGTTTATAGACATGAGAATTCTTACAATACCGCAGTTTGAGATATAACTGAAGAGAGACATTTAAGGACGGAGCAGAACGTCATCATTATTTTTACAGAAAAAAATGACAAAATTTTGAGTATCAAGGTCTTTTTCTACTGTCTTCCAGCTTCTAATGAAAAATTGTGTGGAGACAGCCGTATTTTGTCATTTTTTTTTATACTGTAATATTTTAAGGAAGATTGAAGACAGACATGATCGCCAATATGTTGATATAAAAGAACAATATTTAAACTAGGTAAGGAATATATCACTCGATCTGTGTTTGACTAAACCAGAGACATAGGTAACGTCTCTGGCTAAACACAAGAAATGTTTGTATTGGCTCGGTCGGCGTAATTCACGGTATATCTAGGAATGGTTTTAAACAGAGAAAGTCGCAGCAGTGTTACAGCATATAGACGGGGAGCTCTGTATTTAAAACTGTTTACACAGTCAACCATAGTCCTTATAGATAAAGTAAATATAACATTAAATCTGTTTATAAATATACCCACTTTCACTTTAGCAGATTTAAACATATTTCTTTACCATGACATAAGGATGAGAGACAAATCCTCACAGCGTCTGGACATTTCCAGTCTAGCGAACTGATTTCAGGGTAAAAGTCTGAAGGTCAAATTTGTTCAAATCTATTGACAACTTCCTCTGAAATTTTGACCTTTAAAAACGACCCAATAACAGTACATTTGATCAAATTCCCCCGTGTATTTCCAAAATAAACATCAGTCTGTTTGATTAGGTGTTTAACGAAACTGTGGTTAGCGCTGAGGTTGTTAACATGTGGTAAAGTCTCCTTCTGCTGTGAGCATGCTATCGAGTCATTAGGGTTTTCCACGGATTCACATGGCAGTGTTTTTCCGATAAAAAAAAATATTCTGGACATACATGCATATTGTAATCATTATTACGAATGTGGTAGTACGTAAAAGCACAAACTTATGAGGACGGAAATCATGTAACCCATCAAACATTTTATAATATGGAGGTCTCACGGTATCATAAACTGTGTTTCCCTGATGATTAATTACATAATATATAGCATGTATTTATTGTGCATTTATAAGCACTTGTTAGGTCATTTTCCTATCAGCAGAACCCTTCGACTGTGTGTGATAACATTAACTAGGCACCAGCAACACAAATTTATTCATATCCAGCTTTCGTAGCACGGTAATAGACGTTCTTCCATAATATTTGAATTTATTAAACCTATTTCCGGAATCCGCTGTAAACGACGAGAAATATTTTTTTTTGTAGTTCACATGTCCATCATGGTTTGTAAAATGTTTGTTTGTATAGTAGCCTGAACGTGACAGTCTCAAAGCACTATTTTGACTGAGATTAGGTTTCTAACAAACAACATGGCCGAGAAGTGGATATCGCAGCTTAATTCTGCACACAAAACGTGTATTGTACAGGAAGGTGAGCCCTTACTACTGTATGCTTTTAACACGGAACAATTTGAGTGCTAAAATGTTTCTTTTCACACTCTATACTGCTGACCATGTGATTCACACGTGACTGCTATTTTTTAAAGAATGTTCTGGAAAGGCTGTTAATAATAATACCGATTCTACTTGTAATGCGATCATCTACTACGTCTACAACCATTACATTTTCATTATATTAGTACATTAATTTGTTTAAAATCTGTGTAGCGACAACAACATGTAAAGGAAAAATAAATAAATAAAATTACATTATCACCGCACAATTCGACAATCATTTCAAACACTACTGTCAGTATATAGTTACATGTATATGCTCGAATTTTATCTGGCTTCAACACCAGACAAATTGACAATGAACATGTCTAATATGGATCCTCAAGCTCAAGGTAATATACCCATATATGATGTGTCTTTTCATTATATTTTTCACGCCTCCTATACTAGAGCCGTTGCACCAAACATTGCAAATGTTTAGTACATCCTGTGCCATAGGTAGCTTGCTCCAAGTTTATTCCATTTCTTCTTAATATATTGTTACATCTGTACCATCGGCATGACAAAGGACCAGAAACTCGACCATAAACATTCAAAATGCATTCAACTGATGTGTAACCAAGATATGAATTAAGATTACTAATGAAACTAAAACAAAATTTCTAGGAAACCGTTAAAAGAGATCGGAGTAAAAAATAGTGAGGGGAAAGGATGGGGTGGGGATCATGAGAATCAACTAAATCTACCTGTTGTTCCAATGAAATTCTGTACAGCTTTCATATTGTCATTGCACGAAATATGTGCAATACCTTTTCAAAGAATATCAGCATTAATATCACCTTTGTACCATGATAATTCTGTATGAAGAGTTGCTTGTAGATTAGCATATAAAGGCCAAGTAATAAAGAAGTGGTTACAATTTTCACAGAGATGTCTCATTGACACTTGGCAGAATGGATGAGATTTACTCTAAAGAGGTCATAATTAAGAAAACAAGCATGCTTTCTTACATAACAGTGTAGGATATTTAGTCTTCTAGGTCCAAATGAGGCAAACTCATAGTTAACTTGTTGGTTACTTCCATAGGTATTTTTACATTAACTTTGAAGTAATTTATAGGAGCAGAATTTCTAATACTATCGTCCAAATCATTCCAAAGTTTTATAGTAGAAGGAAAAAATGAGTTTTGCGATAGTTGAAGATGAAAATATTTTTTTTCTTGATAGGTGGGCATTTCTCAAGTTGTATGTTATCATCAGGTAGTAAGCCTGTGAGAACCCCAGCTGCCATATTATTAGATATAGAATATAAGATGGAAAGCTTGTGAGCTTCTGGTCTTATAGAGAGTGGTAACCAACCAGTTTTACAGTATAAGAATTCAGTATTTGTTAATATTGGCAGCCCTGGGACTATTCTTGCAATTTCAAGCTGAATGTTTTCAAGTATTGATGAATTGGTTGCCCCATACTTTGCATGCATATTCGAACAAAGGTCTAATGTACATGTTAGTAAGATACAATTTTGCCAGATTGTTCCTTTTTAAGATAAGTTTGAGTTTCTGAAGGGTTGCTATGTATTTGGTTACTTTGCTTAAAACATATTCTACATGAGCATTCCACTAGCACTCATTAGAAAGAAAAATAACGTAGTGTTTATGATGGTTAGTAATTTGGATTGGAGTGTTATTGAAAGTAAGGGTTGGATTAAACAGTAGTGGACGATTTGATATGACTAGAGCCTCAAATTTGTTAGGATTAAATGAAGTTACAAAATAGAAGTATAGAATATTGGTAATTTACCTAAACAGCTAAAAGAGATAATTGTCAGTAATTAGAGGTGATACAGTGGTCATTGACTTTTAAAAAAAACATAACATGAGCAATTTTCCAATAATCAGGATATAAACATGACAACAAAGAACAATCAAATATAAAAGATAAAGACTCGGAAACTTCATTGGATACTAAGCATTTTGTGACTAATACTGTCAGTGCCTGACAGCTTTTTTATGTTTAATACATTTATTACATCTGCAACTTTATTAGGAATAAAAGTTATTTCAGATAGAGCAGAATCAATGCAACTTTCAAAAGTGGTTAATCTTTATCCGCATCAGTTTTTGACAATTTAAAGTACACACAGAACTAAAGTAAATTAAGCGTTTAGAAGTTCACTTTTTTGTTTTTGTCATATATCATTTCATTAGTAACAGGCTGTATATTTCTGTATTTGTTCCACCTTTAAGAGTAGCATGCAGATGTTTACAACAAACCCTGGATTGATTGTTGCTTTAATCAATTACTGTGTCTGTGTTATCGTAATCATATTATTTACTTTATTTCTCATTTCTCATTTGATTATAGTCATTTCTATTGCATTCAGTGTTACAATTAAACATGATCTTTTTAGGCCTCTTTTTCTCAACTAATGTCATTCTTCCACTGTTTGTCTGTAACTCTGACTAATAATCCCTTGAAGGGAATACATATATTCACAACATTATTGAAGTTTTCAGTAAAAAAGATGCACTATTGGTTAATATTAGACATGTTTGTGAATATTTCTACCCATTGAATACTATTTAACATTACCTCTAGTTCGTCAACATTAGCTTGATCATACAGAAACACCTTTCTTTTTTTAAGAATATTTAATTAATACCTCAATGTTTATAATGATATATGCAGCATCATAGTCGGTAACATTTCGCTCAATTTGAACAAAATCAGAAAAAAATTACATCAACAATATCACTTACAGTGTTACACTGATAAATGATAACAGCAAGTTATCATATATTGTCAGAAGTTTCTATCAGAAAATGGATTGATGAACATTGTCATGAACAAACTCCTCCACTCTTTGGAAGTAAAATCCTTATCAATGTGAACTGTTCATTTTACATACAGTTTTACTGAAAATTAATAAGAGATGTAATTCTAAAATACACCAGGAATTATCTTACATGAGTTTCTATTTTGTATGTGATTTTTGGAAAAAGTCTTCATTTTTAGAAAAAAATTAGTAAGCATTTTGATAACTAAAATGAAGAAAATTGTGACAAGTTGCATAAACTGAAAATAAAATGGGTGCAAATTTAGGATTCTTTTTATCACCTGATTTTTTAATTTTGTAAATATCACAAAGGACTTGGTTTATCCTGTCATTCTTGATATCATCTTCAATCTGTTTAGATGGTCTCCACTGTGTGATGCCATTGTCCTTATCTACTTAGATACAATTGCTAGTTGAAATGATGTCATTTAGATGTCACTATCACAAAGTCATTATCACTAATCTGCAGTGATTTCTAAGATTTTTGGCAATTTAATTAATCCTAAAATGTGAATGATGAGGGCTGTCCTGGGACCTTTTCACTTTTAACCATACTCTGTCAAAATACTTGTGGCTTTCACTTAATTTTGAAAATTTTTTGAAAATCTGTTGATGTTTTAGTATCAGCTTTCAAACCTGATATGGGATAAATTATAATAGAACATGGTTTCAGAAAATTTACATACAACTTTTATATCATTTTTTTAAAACATGTAGCTGAAATTTTACAAATTGTTTGTTTAGGAAGGAGGAAAATCCACTTCACATTTACAGATGGGAATGAAATGGCAGAGGAATATGACCAGAGAAGCGGTGAACTTGTCAGTAAGTCTTTACGTAGATGTTTTCTGTTAAGGTCATTGTATATGTGGAACTTGTCAGTAAGTCTTTACCCAAAGTTCTTCTGTTAAGGTCATTGTATATGTGGAACTTGTCAGTAAGTCTTTACACAGATGTTTACTGATAAGGTCATTGTATATGTTGAACTTGATCATATGACCTTATTATAATTTCATGACTCGAAAAAATTTATTTCTACATTGGTTTATGTGATTTCTTGTAAACATAAACATTATCAAACTACAAAATGTTCATTTCAGAAAATGTCTGTAATACATGATGGTGCTTGCTCAATATGCAAACCAGAATTTGATCAGGTTTAGGACTTGATTCTAAAATGGTATTGGACAGATATGAACAGAATCTGTTGAGGTTCTTACGATGTGGCATTGATTTTGAATAGGACACAATGGACGGAACATGACTTACAGACATTTGATCTGTGTCTCCTGCCATAGCATTGATAGGCCATATAACTGATGGGTGATCTGTACAATAAATTAAATGATAGTATGTCTTGGAAAGAAAATTTAATGAATATAAGGAAAGGTTCAACTTGGATATAAAAACCAACAGAATACCTGTGTACATACAACTGTTTAATTTTCCAAAAAAATGTCCAAAGAATGACTTAATGGTCCATACCATCTACCTTACAAACAAAAATATGTCTGGATTGAATAATTCATTTTCTTTCAGTAAGAAAATGGAGAAGAAAAGGGACATTTGGTAGCAAAGGGACCACCTGGGATTTTGAAATTGGAGAGCAACTTCTGCCAAAAAATCTTGACTCTGAAGGAATGATGGAAAGTTCAAGTAATGTAAGACTGATTTGTCAAGAATAGGGAGAAGACACTTCCTCATGAAGGGAGAAACCAAGTAGATGTTAGATAGTAGCATGATGGATAGTAGATAAGTAGGCCGATACTATTTTCAGATAACTTTATTATCCAAAATGATGGAGGTCTGAAACATACAAAAAGTAACATTGTAAATAAAATCAACTATCTGTTGGTAAGACATAAGTAATAGACTAACAAGTAAATACATAATCCTCTATCCCTCCCTGAGTCATTTATAAGTATTTTAAATGACTGATTTAATGTTTTTGTCCTTGTGGGAAATATGGATGGAATAAGTCTATTACTGTTCATTGTCACTGAAAATGTGATATGCCTTAACACTGTTATTACATTGTGAGATCAAATTATGTATCAATTAACAGTAAATGTAACATACAAAGAAAATGAAATTAAAATGATAAGGTACTATTTGTACATTAATTAAAAAGTAGAAAAGTAGAACTGTCATTGGGCAGACTACCCTCCAGTTCGGGGATTATTCTGCCCCATTTAATGCTCATAATCACTAAGCCATTTTGGCTCTTGTCGTTGTCGATTAGGACGTCTTGGGGTAAGGTCAATGGATAGTTGCTCTGGTCTGTTTGTCACGATCCTCCTGGGTGTGACTGGTGTTGCAGGTGAGGTAGTTGGAGGATGTGGTGACGGGGGTAGCCTGGGCGATGCTGGAGAGGGAGACGAATTAACCATTTGTGGGGATCCGTCCAATGCCAAGGGTGTTTGCGGTTTAGATTGGACTGTATGAGACGTCCTATCCTGCACAGGAGGTGGACTGTTACTCAGATCTTGTGAAGCTGGTGCACGCTTACTGATCCCTTGTGGATTGATGTCCAGATTGGGCTTCAAAGGATTTGCTGGGACCACTGGAGTTCCGCTCGTCGGTGGTGTAAAGTTTGGAATGTCCCTTTTGAAGTAATGTTTCAAGTCCTGCTCTATGGATTGCTTTCCAGGGGGAGAATACACAGGTGTATACTTGCGTAGAAACTTTCGATTGCGAAGCGTGATTCTGCCCGACCCGTCGATACGTACGACGTATTGGTCATATTGGTGAACCTCTATAACAGTTCCGGTTTTATCCCATTTTCTCGGATATGGTCCAGTTTGGTTTTGAATCCTGACGAGGTCTCCAACTTTTAGTGGCAGCAGACGCTTCGTATGTTCAGCTAAGCGTTCGGCGGTCTTCATGTGTCTGATACGTAAAGCCTCTTCTCTCAGGGTAAGCGTATCACTCCATGTCTCGTGTGGCTTATAGCGGCCTGGTAAGATTGGGATGAAGTCTCGAATGGCCCGCCCAAAAACACACATTGCTGGCGATAATTTCGTATCCCTGTCTGGAGTGTTACGGTATTGCAGCACTGCACGCTGGAAGGAGTCTGTGTCCAATTCACCATTTGGACCAGTGTTGTTTGTGATCATGCGCTTCACAGTCTTCACGCCAACTTCTGCTCTACAATTGCTATGAGGAAAGGCTACAGAAGAAAGCCTGTGATGCACACCCCATGTTTTTAGGAAATCTCTGGTTGTTGAAGCTGTAAATTCCGGGCCGCCATCAGAAGACAGTTCATCTGGTATTCCAAATGTGACGAATGTGCGGCGTAAGCAATCAACAAGGCCAGATGCGCCATCTTGTGCCCTTTCAACAATTGGCCAATTTGAGTATCTGTCTACAATCACCAGGTAATTACCGCCTTTGTAGTGGAAAAAGTCGGCACAAACACACTGAAATGGATATAAGGGGTAGACAGATGGAGTTGGCGGGGCGCTGGGTTGGGATGGGGCATTTCTGTTGCAATGGTTGCATGAGTTTCTAAGCTTGGTGATGTCGTTGCATATGCCGGGCCAAAACACAGATGTTTCTGCTCTTGACATCATGGATGAAGTGCCTTGGTGGGCTGAGTGTAGCGCTGTCAGCACGTCTGTTCTCAATGAAGGTGGTATCACTATTCTGTCCTTATATATGATGACTCCATGGATAGTGGAGAGGTTGTTACGGAACTGATGATATTCTCTCAGGGGAACTGGAAGATCGTTTCGTGTTTCTGGGATGCCACTTTCAATCATCTGTACGAGCTGGAACATGTACTCGTCGCTTGTTGTGGCAGTCCTTATTCTATCCCAGGTTATACACTGAAGTGAGGTGACTGATGACAATGCTGTCGAGTAGAAGATAGCTTCGCTACTTTTCAATGGGATTTCCAGTGTATCATCTGCGATTTTGTGATTATGTGTTTGGATGGTATGTTGCGCCTCATTCTTGTTGCAGATATGAACAGAAGCAATATCATGGATTAAAACCATGCTATCAGATTTCCCAACTGGATGACGAGAAACGGTATCAGCAGCTCGATGTTTGGCGCCGGGCACGTGTAACATTGTGAATTTGTAACGTAGAGTTTTCTCTTTTAGGTTACGAAGTCTTGAATTAGGAATATCTTCTAGTGATCTGTCACCAAAAAGTTTGATTAAGGGCTTGTGATCCACAGCGATGATTAGCTTGTCACATCCGAGAACAAAGTATCTCGCTTTTTCTAAAGCATCAGCAACCGCAAGTGCTTCGCCTTCTACGGGGGCATATCTGGATTCGGTGGCGCTAGTGAACCTGCTCCCAACAAGAGTTATTTTCCATCCGTCTCGGCAACAGAATGGCACGGTTTTGGAGCAATTGCAATGTTTTTGGAAAAGCCAATATCCGATGCCATTCTTTGACCAATCTGTGGCAAGACAAGTTGGTTTATTCTTGTCAAATATCTGGACGCCGTGTTCTATTTCACTGATAATAACTGCTTTTGATTCTTGAAAAAGACGCTCTAGAGTGTCATCCCAGCAAAATGGAGTTCCAGGTTTGAGCAGTTGTCTGAATGCTTGCATCCTGTCAGTCATGCTGAATGCATATGACACTTGATTTACAAGGCCGAACCAAGATCTCATATCAGTTATGTTCTTAGGTGAAGGGAAGTCCAGAATTGCTTCAAGATAACGGCTGCATGGTCGCACACTGTCACGAGTAATTTCAAAGCCAGCAAACTGAACAGTATCTTTTGCAAACACAAATTTGTCAGGGTTCAGAATGATACCATTTTTTCCACAGGTTTCTAGCCAATTGCACGATTGAAAGAAACTTTGCTGGATACTGTCCTACCAAAGAAGAGCATCATCTATACACTTTGTTTTGTCAGGAATGTCAGATACAATTTCGTCAAAGCGGCGTGTATATCCATCTCCGGAGGCTATGTATCCTTGAGGCGCTGTCTTATATCTGTATCTGCCCCATGGTGTGATGAAGGTGGTCAAGTGCTTGTCCTCTTCACGGATAGGCACACTATGGTACCCATTCCAGGCATCGAAGACAGTCTTTTTAGTGTGACGTGGAACAGAGCGAGCTTGATGAAATGGGGATTGTGTGTGGTGAGTTTCCCTCACTGCATGAACATTTAGTGCCTGAAAGTCTACTGTCCGTCGCGGTTTGCCATTCTTCTTTGCACAGACGACCATACGATGACACCATGTAACTGGTTCCCCGACCGGAACAGGCTCAATAACGCCGAGTCGAACATCTTGATCTAAGCCTGCCTTCACTTCATCCTGCCAGTGTAATGGTACTGGGACTGGTGTATGATGAGCAACAGGTGTGGCGTCAGGGTCCACCATGAGCCGCATTGGTGGGCCTGACATGTGCGGAAGTGGTTGGTGCTGACATGTATTGAAGGTGCTGGATTTGTACCAGTCTAGTAAGTACTGTTGCAGTTTCTCCCGGTTTGCTTCGGTTGCTGGGAACGGCAGAACCGATGGTGCAGGCAGTGGTGTTTCGTGTTTAGGGCACTTGCAGTCGTCACTGTCTATACGTAATGTGGTTGTAGAATCCACAGAAGATGTCGATTGTGAACCGTGGTGTGCAGAATCATCTTGTGTACTTGGGGAGGACACAGATTCGCTGATGGTCTCTATAATTTCGTTGTTGATGTTACGTGCTTCACCAATAGTTGGAAAGTTCGGTGTTATCATGCCAAGTGATGCACACGCTTCTCTACTAAGAAACACTTTGTCAGAGTTATTGGTAACGTACACAATTTGGGGAGCTTCATAAGTTTCACCTCTCGTTCCTTTGCCAGATATGCGGAGGATGACTGCCCCAAGGATTCTTATGCTGACGTTGTTAGCAGCATGCATCTTCATAGTCACTGGGATCAAATGTTTCTCTGAGATGCCAAGCCGATGTAGCACCTTAATGCCGGCTAGGCAGCTTTGGCAACCTGTGTCAGCCATGGCGGTGATGGTAGCTGTCTTTGGTTTCGGTATGATCTTTGGGTCAATGTCGAAGTGGTCATAGTCTTTAGGGTCAACACGAGCAGTCACATGCATAAAAGGCTGAGGCTGTGACGGCTGGCGAATCCAAGTATCTGATAGCTGATTGTAAAGATGATGATCAAGTTGAACAACATTTCTACCATAGTTATTGTCATGACTGGTTGCGGCGCAAAGTGAATCAAACACAGCACTTTCCTGTTCAGTCTTAGTGTTTGTCACATTTTGTTAACCTCTGCATACAGACTCGAAGTGGTTCATTCGCTTGCAATTGTTGCATGTATGACCATATGCTGGGCACTCTTTTTTGCGAGTTTGTGGCGTTGCTTTGGCACCATGACCTTTATTTCCACAATAGGTGCACAGTGTCTCTTGTTTTTCAGTTTTCTTAGTCACTATACGAGCGGCACTCTTATTGCGGCGATATGAACTGCTAGCTGCTTCTGCTCCTTGAGAAACAAGTAGTTTAGATGCAGAACGTTTACCCGATTCTTTGGCTTCAACGAATTGAAATGTTTGTTCAAGTGTCTTGTTTTGATTTCTTTCCCCAAGGAGATCAAGTTGAATCTCAGAGTCGTTGAGTCCACGAATAAGCACATCACGTAAGATTGCGTCAGTATAGTTGACTTCGTTGTCGCAGCTGGGGCATGGTATTAAAAACTTGCACACACCTGCTTGTTCGCGTAGTCGAGCCCCAAATGAGCGCACAGTTTCTTCACGGTCTTGTGTCATGTTGTTCAGTGCTACCCGAGCTACCATGGTATTCTCTTCACGCACAGCTAGGATCCTGATGGCTGTTAATACATCTTCTTGAGACTTATCCGTCAGCGAGCCACCAGCTGATCTTGTGAGGTCTCTCCGTAGATTCTCATCGCAACACTCAAGAAGCTGTATAACAAGTTCCTTTTCCTTTATTTTAGTGGCTTCTACATAGTCTTTCCATCGTGAGAGGAAGTATGACCAATCTTCACTCGTGCCAGCGGATGTAATGGTGGGCCGTTTGACTTTTTCCACTTTATTACAGCTTGCAGAAGTCGAGGCTGCTGTGTGTACTAGCCCATGGGTAGTCAAAAGTGCAGCAACGATTGCAGCATCTAAGTCATCTGTTTCAAAGTCACAGTCTGGGATTGGACACTTCACTGAAGGCATCTTGTTTGTGTAGTTGTTGCTGTTATGTGTTGTTAGTGGTCTCTCAGTGGATTGAATCCTCCATCATAGATAAGTAGGCCGATACTATTTTCAGATAACTTTATTATCCAAATGATGGAGGTCTGAAACATACAAAAAGTAACATTGTAAATAAAATCAACTATCTGTTGGTAAGACATAAGTAATAGACTAACAAGTAAATACATAATCCTCTAGATAGGACTTTATATATTAAACCTCTGCTATATAAGATCCACAGATAACAAAGTAACTAAGGGAAACCTGAGTCACTGACTAAGATTCTCTCCCTTTTTTCTATTGATATAAGGTAACCTCAGATAAGTATTGAAAAATGAAAACTTATAATGTGTATACAAAGTTGCTGTATTTTTGGACACTTTGTCGTTCATTCTATCTGTACTTGTTTTAAATATCTAGCAGCCTTACTGACTGATCTTAATATTTCTACACAGAAGCAAGAACAAAAGTACAAAATATATAGAAATTGTAGTCCTATGATGAAAATTTTAAGTATTAAGAAAATCATTTTCCTTCTTAAGTACCAACATGTACAGAGCAGGAGAGTTTATCTCTACATTACATTATCTATTTTTAGAATTCTTATGTACTAGGATGTTTTACATTTAAATTCTGTATTAGATTCTAACTGATATTAGCTGCTGATCATCACAAAGTTGTAGCCAAAATGTTTAAAAAAACAAAAAGAGCATCCATTACCATACCCAAATTTGGCTGCATTTATAATGCTATGAATACACAGAAGGTATCCTCATGTAGATGGTTGATCGAGTTCATGGATTTTGTACAATAATAGTGAACATTTTTATTATGGTATGCAATTATTACATGTTATCACATGGGAAACAGTCGTTAAAAACATCAAAATGATATTCAAATAAAGGGCCAGGATTTCCTGTGATAAAACTAAAATAATCTAAATATTTATCTGCTACATTCTGTTATGAAATGGTCAAAATTTCGATTGCATATTGAAGAGGTAAACTGTTGTCTGAACATTGATGTATTGTTTTATCTAAGTCTGTGTGACCATTAAACATTTTGGAAAATTCTTTGTGAAGTTGTACTTACAACATATTTGTAGGTGGAGAGTGAAGACAACACAAACAGCTCCTTCCCAGAGAGTGTTGTCTTTACTATCGACCTACATCCTACCCTTTTTTACTGAGGATTCTATATACTTTTTGTATACACGGCAGTTCCTGGAAGAATTTACCGCATATCATCGATTGTGGGATGACGTGCCTCCACCCCCGTGTTGATATTGGAAATCTGTTATCTTCTCCAAATTTTCTAGATTCAACACTATGTAGATGTTAATTCACTTTTTACATGACAATTACAAAGAGCCATCTGGTTCTCCATCTAGTGTGCAAGTGTAATGTTACTAAAGAGATTAGGACTAATTAATCCTACCACCAGTAGTTATTACAGAGCTGAAGCAGGCTTATTTATTTATAAGATCACCCATCAACACTTTCTGAGGATTTTGTTCCCAAAAGCTGTGTATACCACCACAGTTAAGTGTTACTCAACACAGTTTCATCTTAAATGATGTAACTGTAATTTGTATAATTTTAAATTTTAATTAATTTTATAAATGTCTTAATTAAAGAAGAAAATAATTGATTGTTGATTGATTGATAGATTGATGTGTTTTGGAAATTGACAGGTAAGCAATGGATTTATAGATTCTATTTATATTTTCAGCCAATATTTGTGAGAAAAGATACTAAAGAGGCCTTTCAGTGGAGAATACGTAACATTCCTTACCCTCTGCAAGTGTATAGTGTGACTGTTGATGATGATAAACACAAACTTGTTATCCGAACATCCAACAAAAAGTAAATACTTCAAATTTATAGAAATTTTTATAATTGTAATGGAATCTAGATTTATTGCCTTGATACTAATTAATCACTCGACTGAAATGAGAAAAAAAATTAATAAAAAAACAAACACATTTCATTATACATTACAATAAGATGTTTTGAAAAATGTCCTCGCAATCTTTCATAAATCATGTGTAGTTTATCAGCTGAATAACAATGTTTACATTAACGTTGCAGCCTATAAAGTAAGTCATTGTGCTGATATATTCTATGCAGCTAGCTAGGTACTTTTCTACATCAGTGATAATGGCTAACAAGCCTGGAGCTTTGTGTCTTGTTTTAGGTTTAAGTCATTAGGATTAAATGTAAAGACATGTAACATTTTTTCTCTTCAAAGCAGAGGGAATCAGAAATTAACATTACAAGTCAGAAATGATTGTACATCCATTGTTCAAATGATCTTAAATGACTGGTATCATTATACTACTGTGATTGTTTTGTTTATTTATCTATTCTATTTCTTTGTTTATTTTTTTTAGGTATTATAAAAAGTTTGGGATTTCTGACATGGAGCGGATTGGCATGTTATTATCTCAAGACAATATCAATACTGCCCACGCCAACAATACACTCATTGTCACTGTAAGTGTCTAGATATGGTTCATAACAAGACATGTCTTAAAGTATATGTCTTATCACGTGCCAAAGTTGAGGAAGCAATTTCTGCAGGAAAAACAGAAATAATTATGTTTCCTGATGATTGTGTAGAAAAATGTTTCATGTCTGTACTTGTTTTAAACTAATTTTTTTTTCATTTTGTTGTTTAACAGTATAAAAAACCAAAGGAAATTTTAGAAATGGAAAAAAAAATCTCCGAGGAAATGAGGAAGTTAAAAGCGAGTAAGGACGGTGATGTTGACTGTACTCCCAGCTGACGGGGGATACACTGTAATCAATATACATTCAAGGACGGCAGCTCTCCATTCAGGCAGGATGTTTCTGTTCTCAAGAGGTTGTGGAAGTAGCAAACTATTATGTGATACAAAAATGAAATAAGATTTTTCAATAGGATTTGAAGCTGATGGTAAATAACTGAAGTACAATTTCTGTGAAATTTGATTTTGATTTTTAAGTATACAATACTTAACAAACATATGATACTTGTCAAGTATGACCTGTGAATATTTCTGGGATATCAGGTAACACATGTAAATCTAAGCCTTAAATGTACAGACTGACTTACGATAAACACTGAACAGAAGTACAGTTAATTTTCCTTCTTTCAAATGTTTAAACAAACCTTAAGTTGTCACAAAAATTCATTGCCTTTTTAGGACAGGCATTTAGTGATATAAATAATTGATTTTTAAATCAGAATTATGTCCAATTGTTGGAGTATATCAAGTGCCACATAATCGTAATTGCATAATATCTGTTACAATCTATTATGAAAGATGGTTTTCAGTTTAAGAAAGGATGACTAGAACCTGACAAGCTGTTCAAACAAAAACATGTTTGTCCAGTAAACTATTGTTCTTATCAAATTCAATATTTCCAAACTTTTTTTTTGTATTTTTGTACAAAATGCTGTGTTTTTTCTAGTTAGGTAAATGAATATTGAAATGTTGAAATACTTGTTTTGTAAGGTGATATTATTTTGAAATATTCACTCTCGTGTTTGCTATAATGATTTATCAATTCTTTGATAACTATACTTATCTTGAACATATTTTTCTAAATAGGATTTTATCTGCAAAAATCTCCAGTTAAAGTTGACAATTTCGCAGTATTTCTTTTTTTCTATTGATAGTGTATACATGTAAACTTACTACTGTATATAATTTGTCCCAACCAAACCATATATGTTCAGTATAACTGAACAAACCAGACTCTTAACAGCAGATAAAGTTTTAGCAATTTTTTATTGTAAAAGAAACCATGCATATGCATTTATATCTAAATGAAGAAATATGTCTCTGTATTGTGTAAACCGGTTTTGAATCTCCATCATTATGCTGTGTTCAAATATATTACATTCTTAGACAGTTTATCTTCTACTCACACACCGGTCTGAAAGCTATCATTTATCCAATATTCCCATTACATCAATTGATAAAGAATCATAGTGTAAATACAGACTGAACAGGGTTAGTTTCAAATGAGTGAAACCATTCAATGTTTCAATAAAAGGAAAGAAATAGATTTAGTGTACATGTGCCATTCTCCTCAACAAACCATATTGGTTTTAATTCATGTAACTGGTTGATTAAGGTATGTGTATTTGATTACAACTGAAGTAAAATGAAATAAAAAAAATCAACAGTTTTCATTTAAAGTTTATTTTGTGTTATAAGACAGTGTCACTAAAACTTAAGTTTATTGGTTACAACATTAACACCCATACATTAACAGCTGAAAATATTATAACGTAACTGAATGTGATAACTGCAAAACTTCACATTTAAATTTGTATCAGTGATTATATTAGTTATAACATGTGGTGTTGATGTCTTGTTGATGTCTTGACCTTCCAGTTTTTGTACAAATACTGAATTCTAGAATTGAATTCTAGTATTGGTATGAAAAAAAATTAATAACGTAACATAAAAATGTTGTAAAAGATCAAATGCTTTGTTTCCACGTTTTGTGTTTAAAGGATGATCATCATAATTACTTCCCTTATTTATACATCAATATCTCCAAAACCACATAAAAAGTTTGTTGATTCAATGATAGATAGTAATACAGCACACACAGGCCCTTTCAACCCAGATTTAACTTTCAGTAGGCCTAATTAAGTCTCTTAAGTTCCAATTCTCCATGTCAGGAGGATGAAAATAGCTACACAAAAACTAGTCAATTCTCAACTGGCACACAGCCAATTCACATTTACTTTTTAAAATATTAATTAAGTAAAGTATAAATGAAAGTTTCTAAAATACATGTAGTAGTAAATACTATTAGTATTTATTTCAACGAAATTTAGTTAAATGTTAACTACCTCAACGATAAACATCACTAACCCCAGATTAACTACTGTGTCTGATCAATGTGTCTTGTCGAAGAGGAATTTGAAAATGGCCCCAGCCAACTGATCAACCTTGTGTTAGGGACAGAATCCCCTATCTGAAAACCACACCATTTGATTAATTACAACACCACAGGTTGTTATCAAGATGGACAGTTAAGTGTGTATTTCATTATCATGTAACAAAATATTCAGATTAATACATACACAATATATACCTTCAGATTAAAAGGCGAAAACTTTCCATGTCTTGTTATTAAAATGTTTACAAAACTGAACATATTCCTCTGTTTTTTAATTTGGTGATCGCCTTCTGCAGAAAAGATATTTTTTCTTCTAGTTCTTTGACAATTTCTTTTTCGTCCATTGTTGTGTCTTTGTGTTCATTTCCTTTTTGGGTGTCTATTGCTCCGTCCATTTTCTCTAACTTTTCAATTTCCTGCTTCAAGACTTCTATTTGTGAAAGTTTTTTGTCAATCTCTTCTTCGACAAAAGACTGTATTATTGTTCTTTTCTCGTTTGAATGTTCCTTAAACATCTTATTACTTTTGTAGTATTCCTTTCTTTCATCCACTATGTCTTCAACTATGCCAAGTATTTCATCTGAATGTTTCTTATAATTACCTTTATTGTTTACAAATACTACTCGGCCATTGCATGACTTGATGACGTCCTTTAGATTTGACGGAAACTCTTTACAATATTCTTCTGGTGTGCAATCTAGGGCGTCTGCATTTGTGAACACAACAATTGTGTGCCTGTAAACTTCCTCTCCAAATAATGATTTTAATTCCATAAGTGTGTCATTTTCTTCCTCCGTGTATCTTGTTCTACATGATAGGATCATCAAAAAGGCGTGTGGACCAGGTGAACTTAACTCAGTGCAGTTAACTATAGAGTCAATGGTCTCTTCCTTTGTTCGCTTAGTATCAAATAATCCAGGCGTATCCACGATTGAGATTTCTCTGCCGCCTTGAAGTAATGCAGTATATTTTTGACAGGTCAATGTAACAGAAGATTGTGATGTTTTTTCTTTGCTGCAACGTTTCCCGAGTATCATGTTGCAAGTTGCACTCTTTCCAACGCCAGTTTTCCCAAAGAGAACTATCCTGATAGGCGATGATCGACCTGTTAATGTCAAAAACCGACACCATGACAATATCAAACAGTAGTATCTCAAAGTGGATGTAAAGCAGAAAATGTATTTAAAAAAAATGATTTTGGCAACTTTAAAAATGCTATTTACTTGTATAGGCAATACCCATTATCAATATAATTACATTAATGAAAAAAGAAAAACAATGAATAGCAGTGAAGATATTGCAGGCAGTGAAAATATAGCAGGCAGTAAGTAGTGACAATATAGCAGGCAGTAAGCAGTTAAAATATAGCAGGCAACAAGCAGTGAAAACACAGCAGGCAGTAAGCAGTGAAAGTATAACAGACAATGAAAATATAGCGGGCAGTGAAAGCAAGCAGTGATAATATATCAGACAGTGAAAATATAGCAGGCAGTGAAAATATAGCAGACTGAAAATATGGCAGACAGTAAGCAATGAAAATATAACAGACAGTAAGTAGTGCAAATATAGCAGAGAGTAAGTAGTGACAATATAGCAGGCAGTAAGTGGTGAAAATATAACAGACAGTAAGTAGTGCAAATATAGCAGAGAGTAAGCAGTGCAAATATAGCAGGCAGTAAGCAGTGAAAATATAACAGACAGTAAGCAGTGAAAATATAGCAGACAGTAAGCAGTGAAAATATAGCCGGCAGTAAGCAGTGATAATATAGCAGGCTGTAAGCAGTGAAAATACAGCAGACAATAAATACTGAAAATATAGCAGGCACTGAAATTATATCAGCCAATAAGTAGTGAAAATATAGCAGAGAGTAAGTAGTGACAAAATAGCAGACAGAAAGCAATATTCAGTGAATATATAGCTGGCGGTAAGCTGAAGACAACGAAAATAGTACAGATAATAGGCAGTCGGCAGGACGCTGTCGTATGTGTTTAATTCCACAAAACATTATCCAATTAGCACAAATACATTGTTTATATTTAATTATCGCCATCATGTTTAGCAGAGCATTAGAATTTTAAGTGACGATATTCCTTTATAAGTTTCATTTTTCTATATAAGAGATTAGAAACCATGTCAATTATATAAACGTTAAAATTTAAGATCAAAACATTATGCTACTATATTAAGTGTAGTAATAGTTCACATACAACTTTGAAAAAAGTGGCGTTTGGCGGGAATTGGTATTCTTTGGCTGACTGATAGCATATCATATTGATGTTTTTTGAATGATATTCCTTATCACATTCATGACCAAAGAATGATAATCTAAATACTCCGATGTTCTTTTAAGTTATATGTTCATTAGATAAATGGTTTTGCAATTGCATTTTAGTAATTGTTAAGAATTAATGGTTTTCAGTTAAAAATTTCTTAGGTTCATTCCCAGACAGAAACACCCAAAGTTATGATATTTCACCTGTAGCATGCTTGGAAAAAAGACCATCAATTATGTTCCGATGAATTACCTTGACCTTTGTCAAGGTCACAATGCGGTAAAATTCTCCAACAACTTCTCAATAATCAAAAATCGATGAAGCCCTAGTATTTGGGTGGTAAGATGTTTTAAGGAAATGGTTTCAGGTTTGTCCAAATCACTGACGCTGATCCGATTTTTACAAGAGAGCGACACCTTAAGTGATTTCACAGACAGAAGGGCAATGATTGGCTGTTTTTGCTTGTTACGAATACAATCATATAGTAAATGTCTTCACGAAAATGTCTAGATTTTAACATATTTCAGTACCGGTGAACGGATTTACACAGATTGGTGGCTGTGTATCATCATACGTATCAAGTTTCTAGTTGATAACGTCTGAAGGAGAAACTCTCCGTTAAAAGGTTTTGGCGAGTGATGCAGACATATGAGACAAAATGCCTTTTTTGCACGTTTAACTCCAAAAATATGATAATGCATCTCGATGAGTGATTTTTTTAGATACTATATCCACTTGCTACAGGTTATCTTTAATAAAACGAACGACTTTAAACAACTTTCAATATGCACAGTAAAGCTCCTATAAACAAAAAAGTTGTCTTTCTACCTAAGCTATATTAATAAATGCATGCTGAGAATGGCATAAGGGAAACCTGAATTGATGACAGAAATACACGTCAGCTACCATTTTGTTACTTACGCTTGACAACAATTTGTGCAACTATACTTGAAGACGAAACATTCATAGGTTCATCTACTAATTACGTGAAAACAGGTGTTGGGAAGGTAAAAATAACGACTTGTCATCAGATTATTTAGTACCAACTAATGGTGCGATATAAATGACTTCATCATACGTGATGATACCATTCATATTGCTCAGAATAAACGTAAAAATATTTACAGATTTAAGAATCGATAGATAAAGGAAATAATTTATTCTCAAAATAGTTTATCATAAATGCGTGCTAGAATAAGATTCCTTGACGAAGGTAAGTCCATCAGAAATAAGGTTAGGCCAAACTCGGGATTTAAACAACAATCCAAACCCGGATAACGATATTTCGGCGCTCAGCTCTTGCCTGATAAACTTTTGTTATCAAACAAGGCTTCATTTGTTGAAGAGCTGGTAGCAATTACTCCAAGTTATACTTGTGGTTTGTCTTTAAAGAGCGAAACAATTATTGAACATGCTTTTAAAAACTTATTTACAACAGAATCGGAAATTAAGTGCAAAACTCCATATACTTTTCAACAACATGGCAGATAAGAACAGCTCTCCACAGCTCTATGGTAAATACGATGTTTTCATTTTTCCTTTGATGAATTTTTCCAGTTGTAAAAGGTGACTACCCGACACTCTCAAACTGTGGTATTTAACTGTCGCAGTTGATAAGGTATTAATGGCATGTTCCCAATATAAATATTTCATTGGTAGAAGCCGGCAGCCGAAAGAAAAGCAAACACGTAGGATGCAGGGTTCACTGCGGGTTTAAATATCGGTGAGCCAAAATAATTAAGTAAGAAATGAGCATTAAAATTATTATACTTTTTGAAGTGTTTTCTCCATGACCAACTTAGCAGGTGAGTGATACAGGCTCATTGGACCTCTTGTTCATATCTTCGTAAGTTATATACTGAGTGTATATAGTGACAAGAAAGCCATGACTGACAAAGGCAGCTTCCATTTGTTACTTACCCCTAACAGCAACTTGTGCAGCTTTATCTGAAAAAGAAACATTTAATCATTGTTTCATTTATCAGTAATAAACCAAGGCGAAGTCGTCATATTTAGTACTAACCAATGGTGCAGCATCATTGACTTAATTGTAAGGAATGAGGACAGGAAAATTGTGACAGCTATTACTTATAATTAAAATGAACAGGAAGGTTTTAATATTTTACGAGCTATTTGAAAAAGAAAACATTCTTCTCATAATAGTTAATCACGAAGCTAGTACTGAATAAGAATCTGGCAGTCCATGACTACAGGTAAAAGGTTACGGCCAACATTGCGATTTGTATTTGTCGTACACATTGATGGCTGAAGAGTGTTATATACTAAGCTTATTCCGATGCTAAGCAGGCCTAATGTATACACAGATTCAAACAGGAACATATATCAGTCAACATAAGATACTTTACAAGGACACGCTGCTTGTAAGCATGGAAAAATCAATAAATGTATATATATTTGATCATGGTAACATAACTGACACAGGAAGACAAATTTTGACACGTGCCATATCCGGGCCTTGAAAGCACGATCTATGGCACCAAATCGCCTAGCTCAGAAATTCGACAACTGCCTAACCAACAACACCACCCGACATCCCCAAAAAGGATGTTTGGAAGTTGTGGTGATAGAGTTGCAAATTGACTATTATTTTATACGAACTTATGACATATGCGATATATTTGATATGAACATAGGATATATACTACTCACAATTTGACATGGATCACTTTTTTATTTAATGTGTAACGGTATTTATTTTAAGAATATATTCAACAGTTCAATTTATACATATTTCGGCATTATAAGATGAAGATTTAACAACACCAAGCGAAGAATAACAGTATTAATTGCTCATTGTACACAGATACCCCGAATATCGCAAATTACGACCAAAGTGGCGAAAAATTAAGTCCTACGAAACAGCGTCGTTCAGCGAAAAATACAGTGTTAGTATCGAGTATAACGTCCTCGAGCATCAATTACGATCTGGCAGCGGCGGCGCATGCTTCTGATCAAGTCTCGTATCCAGTTTTGGGGAATACTTGTCCATTCAACGACGAGAGCTGCTTGAAGTTCCTGAAGCGTTCTAGGTTGGATGTTTCTCGCCGAAACAGCGTTCTGAAGCATGTCCCACACGTGTTCTATAGGATTGAGATCTGGAGATCGGGCTGGCCAGTCCATCCTCTCAATTGTTTTCCTTCCCAGATACTGTTCAGTCACAAGAGCTCTGTGTGGTCGCGCATTATCGTCCATAAGAATGAATTCCGGACCTATAGCACCAGCATAAGGCCTGACGTACACGTCCAGAACTTCGTCACAGTACCTCTGTGTAGTCAAACTGCCATTAAGGAACACACGAAGGTCGGTCTTGCCTTGCATGCTAATGCCACCCCAAACCATAACAGATCCACCACCGTATCAGTCATGTTGGGAACGTTAGCGGCATGGAATCTCTCATTTGGTATCGCCACACCCTATGCACGTCAGTCAGTGAAATCTAAGCAAAATCTAGACTCGTCTGTAAAAATTACGGGGGACCAGTCATGGAGGTTCCAATTCACATGATCACGAACCCAAGCAAGTCTAGCTTGAACATGTCGTAACGTCAAAGGAATTCTCACAGCAGGTCTGCGCGACCTTAAACCAGCATCATGAAGTCTATTTCTCACAGTTTGTGTGGAGATACGAGTTCCGGTGGCATTCTGGAAGTCATTACGTAGTGACGTAGCGTTGATGAACCTTTGACGTCGAGCTGCAATAACAACACAGCGGTCTTGACGCTGCGAGGTAAGTCGTTCTCGACCCCCACCATGTCTTCTGGAGACAGTTCCATAATTATGGTAACGATTCCACATATGGGACACAACACTCTGGGACACACCAAGGTCATTGGCCATCTCCCTTTGTGACCTTCCAGACTGAATCATACCAATGCCCCTGTCCATATCTGAAGTGCTTAGACGTCTTCTAGCCTGCTGTCGGGGCATTTTGAAACCATTAAAATTCAAAATGTAAAGCAAAAAGCGAGATATTCTGCCACAAACGTATTGATGACAATCTGCACGTAGGAGGCTCGTGCGTGTACACGTGACGTGTAGGCGTTACGGGTGACTGACCATATACCACATCAACACCCGATACACATAGACCTCGGTACAGATATAAACCAACAAATATAAGGAATACGTATTATTTTATTTTAAAAGAAAATGTTGCTAATTATTAGGTGTGATCCCTATCACAGTAGTATATATTAAACACGGGTAAAATTACAACAGCAAATATATATGTGTAGTGTAGATAGTATCAAAATAAATAGTCAGGGAGAATGTTACGCCTCCACGACAATTTATTACTTCAACTCCGAATAACCTTGCTATTCTTTATTGCCATGGATAGCCGTAAACAACTACAAAACAGAAATAACAAATAATCACACATTAGAATTTACATATCTGACATTTCGACACACAGACAGAACCACGTGTTATGTTACGCTACAATTTTCAGCAAGCAAATTATCAAACACACAAACCTACACTGTCGTGGTATTCTGGATTGTGTATAGAACATCTCAGATGCCGTAAGGTAGAAGTGACTATCGTCCCAGACGTTTCATTGTCACTTGGCATGCATACATTGTAGCTGGCAGACGACAACACATGTCTGCAAAACGTTATCAAAACGAAACCACATCCGATGGGTAAAACTAATGTCCGGACCAAAATACTGAACAAGAATCCCGGATTTAAGCGACTCTGGCGGCGTAACAGAGAATTATGAAGTAAAAGAGAATCAAGAATGTATTTTTGTATCTTATTTGGTTTAATAGTTAAAGACTTTCTATCGATCAGTTACCTGTGCCTGCAGTTGTCTCTGGAGTCCTGCTGGATGACAACTTTTCCAGTTCTCTTTCAATCGATTCCCATGTTTCAGAACCAGCTGTATAGAAAACAGGTTTGTTTTATTGATTAACTGGCTTGAAAAACACTATGTTTAAAACAAGGCGATGCATAAACGAACGATGAGAATAAGTTTTCCTAGAATAACAGATAAGTTTAATTGAAAGGGATTAGGCCTCTGACATTTGTTTTGTTTTGATATCAAAGCTCAAACCGCACTTATTTCAAACATGTTTTCAGGAATTTTGAGAATAATAATGGAATGTGAGGGTTGATATTTTATTACCATTATCATTGATTTTCAGATTTTAGTAATTTTGGAACGAGCGGTAATGAAGTTGAGCAATTATGGATTTTTTGATACCAGAAAGGATGCTAAAATTGCATATTTATTATGATAGTATTTGACAGTAGATACTGCTTAAGTTTGTTTTATCTTATTGTAAAGGTATTAGAAATGTTTTTTAAAAAAAGAAGAAGAAAACTAAACAAAACAAAAAAAAAAAAAAAAAAAAAAAAAAAAAAAAAAAAAAAAAAAAAAAAAAAAACAAAAAAAAAAAAAAAAAAAAAAAAAAAAAAAACAAAACAAAAAAAAAACAAAAAATACAAATCTATTATCATAGAAGTCAATAGATACATTGCAGATATATAAATTTGGAATAAAATGTTATTTTTGGACATGATGTCTATTTCTCATTGCACATTTTAATGTAGGAATTTCAAAATATTTCATACCATGTTTAAACAATCATAAGAATCCGAGAGCCTTTGATGCTGGAAAAGAGACTCATTTGACCGGTTTTTGGCCGTTTTAATAAGCATACCGACCAATCACTTTAATGGATGTAATATTTAGAGAGATATGCCATGAACATGTGTAGTTTTATCAAAATCAAACATAGTTGTTGTTATGTTTTTGCGGGTATGTTATCCACAAACGGTGTAATGGCGAATATCAGAGGCTATGTTCGAACACCCTATTGAAATACCAAATATTAACTATGCTGTTGTGGTGTTTCTTTATGGTTGAATGCAGAAGTCACAGCTCATTTCTAAAAACCAAATCGGGAAAAGACTGACTTAAAAATAACCGGTTATATGGTTTATTAAAGCATGGAGATGCAGGGATTACATATGATAGCAACTGAAAAATCGTAATTGATGTTTAATAACGTTGGATGTTTATTTTTTCCTTACCACGATTTGTTATAACTTCCTAAACAGTGCTGTACATTTAATACAATATAACAAAAAGGGAAATTGACAATTAAAAAAATTTGAATGTAGCGGGACACTTTTGTTAAACGACAGGACTATGACATACATCAGTCAAAACACACATGAGAGCAGAAAATACAACAGCTATTTTCCCATAGAAACGATCCATGTTTTTTATGACAGAGGTATAATCAGATTATATATATTGGACTTACGATTTATAATTTTTCCATGCCTTCTTCCATCGCTTGATGCCATTTCCTTTGATTTTCAAAAACACATGTAAATGAAAAAATAATAGAATTAAAAATATAACAAAAGATGTCCGGTTGTAATGGGAGATATGAGAGGTAGCAAACAATGTACTTGTATCTCCATTCTATTTTTGTGTAGTATTTCCATTATTATTATGACTGATAAAGATCAGAAAACACTGGCAGATAACCTTTACATTATTATTATGACTAATATAGATGAGAAAACACTGCCAGATTGCCTTTACATTGTTATTATGACTAATATAGATAAGAAAACACTGGCAGATAACCTTTACATTATTATTATGACTGATATAGATAAGAAAACACTGGCAGATAACCTTTACATTATTATTATGACTGATATAGATAAGAAAACACTGGCAGATAACCTTTACAATATTATTATAACTGAAAGAGATCAGAAAACACTAGCAGATAACCTTTACAATATTATTATGACTGATAGAGATCAGAAAACACTAGCAGATAACCTTTACATTATTATTATGACTGATAGAGATCAGAAAACACTAGCAGATAACCTTTACATTATTATTATAACTGAAAGAGATCAGAAAACACTAGCAGATAACCTTTACATTATTATTATGACTGATAGAGATCAGAAAACACTGGCAGATAACCTTTACATTATTATTATGACTGATAGAGATCAGAAAACACTGGCAGATAACCTTTACATTATTATTATGACTGATAGAGATCAGAAAACACTAGCAGATAACCTTTACATTATTATCATGACTGATAGAGATCAGAAAACACTGGCAGATAACCTTTACATTATTATTATGACTGATATAGATAAGAAAACACTGGCAGATTGCCTTTACATTGTTATTATGACTGATAAAGATCAGAAAACACTGGCAGATTGCTTTTACATTATTATTATGACTGATAGAGATCAGAAAACACTGGCAGATAACCTTTACATTATTATTATGACTGATATAGATAAGAAAACACTGGCAGATAACCTTTACATTATTATTATGACTAATAAAGATCAGAAAACACTGGCAGATAACATTTACATTATTATTATGACTGATAAAGATCAGAAAACACTAGCAGATAACATTTACATTATTATTATGACTGATAAAGATCAGAAAACACTAGCAGATAACATTTACATTATTATTATGACTAATAAAGATCAGAAAACACTGGCAGATAACATTTACATTATTATTATGACTGATAAAGATCAGAAAACACTAGCAGATAACATTTACATTATTATTATGACTGATAAAGATCAGAAAACACTGGCAGATAACCTTTACATTATTATTATGACTAATAAAGATCAGAAAACACTGGCAGATAACATTTACATTATTATTATGACTGATAGAGATCAGAAAACACTGGCAGATAACCTTTACATTATTATTATGACTGATAAAGATCAGAAAACACTGGCAGATTGCCTTTACATTTTAAAAGTTAATGAACTTTTAACAAATACCATAAAACAGTAGATAGACGGTTATAAATTGTAAGATTATTATTTTACTGCCAAATACTCGAAATTTCGAGACACTAACTCAAAATTTCGAGATAAAATAAAACAACGTGGCCGGAATACGCTTCCGTAGCCAAATGACAAACACTGAATGAATAACAGTGTATGAGATTGAAAAACAGACTACAATGACATTCCAAACCACTAACTCTTATAATTGAAAAGGCACTTCTGAAATATATGTTAAATTATTGGAAAGGTTGTGATATGATAAAAATTCAGGTGTCAGGATTTCTACCGCATGATTCAACAATTAACCACTGGTTAAAAATACATAATACCTTAGTCAATTGTTATGACCATAAAATGATATTACATAACAGAGTTTAGCATGAAGGTTTACTTTATAAATCAAATCAAAATGAAATGGTATGAAGTAATAGAATGACTAAAGTTATCTTTGTAGCAGAAAACAAAAGTGCCGACAAAGGGGTTTTAAACAACGTTCAATATACGTTTAGGTATTTCTAAAAGCGCGGTCCTTCGCCTGGAATACACGATATGATTGACTCTGTGGAAAACACAAACAAAAGTACTTATCTCTATGAAATAATAAACATATGATCATATTGAAATTATACAAGATGTTACTTATGTAATAAAGTTACCAGGGCAAAACAATATATATTAACTATAAAACTAGTTCCAATCCATATAAACAGGATCGGTGTTTTTCTCTATAAAAAGAGAATGATGAAGTATTTAATTCTGAAATATTTTATTTGCCAACAATACAGCTAGTTTTGTCATACCTCACAAACATTTAGCTTTAATATTCAGTAGTGATGGTAAATGGACAGACCATATAAATGATATTATGAGCAAGTCTATACTGAAGCTTATTGCATGAAAAATACGTCAAAATCAGGAAATATACAGAGAACGCAATAGTAATCATGATCGAGGTTCTGGTTAAAAATATCTTTGGTGGTAAGATCTCCCAGCAGACTATAGGCATACATATGGAGATTAACAGTGACTCTCTGATGGCTAACTTGTTTTTGTTATCATACAAGGCTGAATCGATTGCAGAACTTATCAAAACGGATAACAAAGACATTGAAAAGTCATTTTCTTTCACGTTCAGATATATTGATGGCGTCTTGTCTTTAAATAGTAAGAAATTCAATATACGACGTCCATCGTATACATCCACCAGACTCAGAAATAAAAGACACGACAAACTCTTCTACAACGACCGCTTATCTCGTTCTATTCTTACAACGAAACCAACGTGAACAGACAGCTTTCACTGAGCTGTGTAATAAGCATGATGAATTGGTGTATTTTCCCTTTCTTGACAGCATTAACCCTGCGTATCTAACCTATGGTGTGTACATGTCACCATTGATTCATTATTCATTGTTTTGCTCCCATTGTCACGAGTTTCCTGCAAGAAAGCGTCAACTGACAGACAATTCGTAACACAGGGTTTCAAAAGATGCAGGTTAATGAAAATTATGGGGCAATTTTACGGTCGCCATAGTGATCTAATGGAGATATATTCACTTCTTTCTGTGTTATGAAGCTGGACGGGTTTGATGCTCGTTAGTATGCCTGTTGTTTTCGTTGTTGTATATATTGTTTTCATTTGAGAACGTGACATTACTTGGCGGATGTCGTCGATGAAGCACAAGGCGCCTACTCTTCTGGTACATCTGGTCTTACTATCCATGTACTTTTTCAGGATAACATTT